TAGTTTACTCTAGCCATATTACAAACAAGGCCTCGGAACATTATAAATAAATCTTTAGTAAATTACAAGTAAGCCACTAATACAATAATACTCCTAATAAATTGTTAAGGGCCTTCCGACCTTTTTTTTCCAGAAATTATGAAATGAGAAAAAATAGGCACAACAAAGTCATTTCCTTTAATGCCAAGAATATACCGCTTATCCAATTTTCTCTTTGCTTTGGCCAAAATTCTTCATGCAACTAAGGGTGGCCATATTACGGTTTCGGGAACCGGAACCGTCGATTTAAACCGATCCCAAACAGTAATCGGAACTAGGCCGAACCAGAATCAAAACAGGATATTTTCGGTTCGGTTCCGGTTCCAGATTTCTGGAACTGAAACCGGCAGTTTCAGAAAACTGATTGGAACCGGATTGGAACCGCCAGTTCCCTTGACGGTTAGAACCTCCAGTTCGAACCGGCGGTTCTAGTCGTTATAAACTGTTAGTTGTGTTTTTTTTTTTAAATTTTGTTGTGAAATCTCTTAATTACCCCTCCCAACAGCCATAAACGGCTACATAACGGCTAGTTTCAAGGGTCTCCCCAACAGCCATAAACATGCTAAAAATAACGGCGTAGTTTCAGGGAATGTTTTTGGAACACAATAATTTTTTGGATTTTATTAATAAATATCTATATTCATTTACAAACTTCATTTACAAAAAAAAACTTTCTACTCTCCATTCATCATAAACTACTTACTTCTCTACTCGATATATTCTATTCTTCGTCTGTACTCTACAAATCTCTCTATATTAAGTTATTATTCCTCTAATTTTTCTGTATATCAATTTTCCAAATATAATTCTATTATCATATAATGGCACAGTGGAGGAAACTCAAATTCGGGTAAGGCAGGAAAGATTGAGAGAAACACGATATTCATCCTATCCCTACAACACAGACATCCTAATGGATTTCACTTCCACAACCAATTTAATTTTGAGGGATATCAAATAAAAATTTGAAATTCCAACTCAAAAATCTGATTTAAATTGGCAGCAATTCACAAGAGAGAAGAGCAAGAGAAGAGAAAGACAACGGAGCACAACATGTTGACAACGCAGCAAGACACAAGTCTCCGACATATTCGCCATTCATTTCTACGAAAAATTCAACAGTAAGAAAATGTTACGACTGTAAATTTTGCCAAATTATTGTGAGAACAATCTTATAAATTTAAAACAAATGGGCGGCTATGGATCATTTTGGAAGCATTTGGAGACCAAAACATCCAACAAACAACTAGGAGTTGAATCCCATCTCAAATACAAAATTTCAACGTACGCATATCTTCATACCTTTCCTTTATTTCAATATTCTGAAAAAAGTACAAAAGAAAGAATTTAGCAAAAATGCATTTTTATGGGAACTTAGCCTATTTAGTTTTAGGTGAAAGTCAAGTAGGGTTTTTAGATAATTATTGTCAAAAAAACTTTTAAATCCTTCTGCCTAAAAGAGTGCCCCAAGAAATACCTGTAAAATGAAACTATTAATTCTTTATATAATAAAAGGAAAAAAGAGTTAGAGCTTTTATTTTACTTTCAAATGACAAATTCTGTGTTTTCAAATTTTTTTGATATTTTGTAGTGATCATTAGGCAAATGCATTCTTATATGGGCCATTTACGACTTCATCTGGGTTGATAATGATTGAAAATTTCCAAAAAAAAAAATTATTGCATTTCGCTGTTTTTTGATTAATAAACCATACTCATGCCAAATCAATATTTAGTTAGAATATTGTTTTCAATTTTAGATGAAATATAAGTGATAAAAAAATTTTTTCAATATTATTTGATAATGCTTTCTGCTAAATACTAAATCAATTATTGAACTTAAAAAAATATTGTGAACCAAAATACTTTGCGTGGAAAATTTTTTCATATAAGATGTGCGCATAGATATAAGATGTGCATGCCATGTTTTAAATTTATGTGTACAAGATGGTTTAAAAATTCTTGAATCTTTTATTTCTCCAATTAAAAAAGATATTTCATATTTATGGACACATCCCCAAGTGATGAAAAGTTGGGCTAAATTTTGTAAAGAAAATAATAAAAGATCAAAACCTTTTCCGAGGGATGTCCCAACTCGTTGGAATTCAACATATGAATTACTAAACGAGTCTTTTTCTTATAAATAATTAGTATGCTTTTTTGTTACTAATAATATTGAGGATATTAATTTATATCCACAAAATTGGGAGATTTGTGCAAAAATTTTAGATATTTTTAAACTTTTTAATGATGCTACCTATAAATTTACCTATAAATTTAGTGGAGTTTATTATCCCACATCTCATTTATTTTTTAACCTATGTGTATTAATATTGTTAGTTGCACTCAAGAATTTGAAAATATTATATATTAAAAGATTGTATTTTTTTTCAATGCAAAAAAAAATCATTATCTTATTTTAAAAATATATCACCCTTTATCTTTGATTGCTATTGTATTTGATCCTAAGATGTTAAATTGATGTTTTATAGGTGATTATTTGACTATTTATTATGAAGTTTAAATCTTGAATTAGAGATAATGATTAATATAAACTGTAGTATTGCATGAGTTAACAAAATATTATGCATTATTATAATGAATTTGTTCAATTTTGTAGTTCATTTCTATTCTAATTCTTCTCATCTAATATTCAACAATTTTCAAACACAAAGGGTAAGTGATTTTGGGTGTTGCTTAACAAAGTTTTACTACAAAGACAGAAAAAGAACAAGGGAATCCAGTTCGTTTTCTGAATTGGATAATTATCTAACCACTTCTATTTGAGTTTGGTTGATGATTATGCAAATATGATTTTTCAATTTTAGTTGGTGGAGTCGTCAATTGCCATACTTTTCCGAATCTTTTCTTTAATTGCAAACAGTTTAGCAGGCTCCCGGTTCTCCACTGTTGCCGGATTGGAAACACAAGCTTTTAGTCAATAGGAACACATTACTTGATGAAACACGATCTCGCTATGACACCCGATCATTAGAAAGCACATCATGCTTGCCATTTGATTGGAAGCCAAGGCGGGCGAAACTAAGAGCATTCAATAAAAGAGTGCTGAAGAGAGAGAAGATGGGAAGATTTATATGATTTATACGGAGGGTCCTCAACTCGGGAGACAGTCAACGCGGTCGTCTTGTGCCAAACAATAGCGACCTAACTCACACTTTAAATTGGTAGTAAGGTAAATAAGAACTACGTGGGCTTGATTCCTCTAAAAACCTCTTAAGGAGGATACATAGGGCAACTTAATATTTTAAAAAAAAAATTAAGTTTCAAGCCCTTTTTTTTTTAATTATGTTCAAACTTTTTAAACAAAAAAATAAATTCAGTGAAGGATTTTTTAAATTATTATAAATTAATTATGTTCCAAGTCTTTTAAAAAAAATAAATTTAATTGAAGAACTTTTTTAATTTCTTTAAGTGTATTTTTTTAAAAATAACTTTTCACAAATTAATTATTTTTTGAAAACCGGTTCTTTCAAAATTAAAAAATTAAAATTATTGCGGATTCGCCACGGAAAATCGATCGAACCACCTCGATTTTTCACCGTACCGGAACATTTCGATTTCAAACCGCACCCGGAACCCGAACACTGACCGTATTCGGTTCCGGTTCCCAATTCTAATTTTTTTTTAAGTGTATTTTTTTTACAAATAACTTTCACAAATTTATTAAATTTTGAAAACCGGTCTTCAAAATTTAAAATTTAAAATTATGCGATTCGCCAGAAAATTGATCGGAACCATCGATTTTATCACCGTACCGGAACCATTCGATTTCAAACCGGAACCGAAACTGGACCTATTCGGTTCGGTTCCAATTCTAATTTTTTTGGAACCGGAACCGTGGCCACCCCTACATGCAACTCTCTTCTTTCTTTTCTTTTCTTTTCTCTTTTTTTATTTTTTTCTCCTCCTCTTATTTTGACCAATCACGCAAAATGAAGCAAATTCATGATCAATCCTCACATAGGCTTTCCACCTACCTTTCTTTTCTTTAGCTCACCTTTTTGCTGTCTCCCTCTTTCTTTTTTCTTTTTCTTGCAGTACAATCTCGATTTCATAATTCCTCCCCTGTTTTTCTTAGCTTTAAATTCATACCAACAAACATAGTGACCCATATAAACTTTTAAATCAATTATGAAATGTTTATTAGATAATTGTATATTATTTTAATTTTATACTGATATGTATTAAATAATTGCATGTGGCTAAAATAAATTTAGTCATTATTATGTCTTTCTATAGACATAAGTTGTTTTAGAATATTAAAGAATAATTAATGATTTTTTTCTGTTTCCTTTTTCTATCCTTCTTCACGTAATAATGAACTCCAAATTTATAGATGTAATTAAATACAACTGCGTTTAAAAGCAAATTTATCAAAGCGTATAATAGAAAAAAAAAACTTTAAATACATACTACAAATCAAAATAGACAATAATTTTGGAACATGTTAAAATAGAACAGTGGACAATCTTTTCTAACCTATTGGATTAAATCAGGTGTTATTTGCACATATATTTAGTTAAACCTAATTTTATTCTCATGGCGTTCCCGCATATAAGGAAGAAGCTTTCCATTAGGAGATTTTCTCTATACACAACAATACTTTCAACCACACAAGTAATTCTGGTGGGCAAAATTTTTAAAAAGAAAGGTTTTGAGGCGGGGAGATTCAAATTTTCAAAATGAAAGGATTTTGAATTCTCTCCACATCAAACATACATGAAATTGAACATGCGGGACCCACATTTATGTAAAACGAGAACCAAGTTCAACGTCAAACACCGTTCTTGTTATTGTTGCCAGACTCCCACTTATCTTAGAAGGTGCCTTTTGTTTTATGGTAATAGAAAAAACCATTTCAACTTCCCATCTTGAGCTAAGTTCAAAATTATCTACGAGAACACCAATATTCAACACCGAGGATATGTTGGAGGAAGATCCTTTCAAACAAGGTATTAATATAATTTCCATAAGTTTTATAAACGCAAACTGACACTAGATAAAAATTCTCATACAATAACTATTAACATTAATGTTCTCAGGGGGAAAAAACCCTTCAAATTTTGAAGCAAGAAAAATAAAATCAAATGAAAGAAAAGAAAAGAAAAGAAAAAAGCAGCACAATCACTCTCCAGCTACAAGCATCCTACTAAAAGGAGACATTGGTTGAACCACAAAAGATTGCGAGGAAAGTAATGACTTGAGCACCAAAGTGTCTGCCCACCACATCCAGAGGGACCATTACAGTTGAGCCTCTTAATTTCGGCTTTAACATACATGAGTAGCAATAGATGGAAAGCTATTTGATACATCAAGATCAGATATACCCTCCTTGAATGACCCCATCCGACACTTTTTCACATCGACCATACTTGAGTTCATGACACCTTGACACGAAAAAAGCCAACTAAATGCAAAAAAGAACTCGCCATCAAAGCACCTGTAGAACTTAGAAGCACTTCCTGTGGACAATGGATGGACCAGACTCATCATACTCGCCCTTGGAAATCCACATCTGATGTAAAACAATCAGATCATGTCAGTCTTAAGCTCAATTTACAATATATACAAGTACAACTGAAAAGTCTTAGAAAGAAATTTCACCTGTTGGAAGGTGCTAAGAGATGCAAGGATAGATCCTCCAATCCAGACACTGTACTTTCTTTCAGGTGGTGCAACCACCTTAATCTTCATACTGCTTGGAGCAAGTGCAGTGATCTCCTTGCTCATACGGTCTGCAATGCCAGGGAACATAGTGGAACCACCACTGAGCACAATGTTACCATAAAGATCCTTCCTGATATCCACATCACACTTCATAATAGAGTTGTAAGTAGTCTCATGGATGCCTGCAGCTTCCATTCCAATGAGAGATGGCTGGAACAGCACTTCTGGGCATCGGAATCTCTCTGCTCCAATGGTGATGACTTGCCCATCAGGAAGCTCGTAGTTCTTCTCAACTGAAGAGCTGCTCTTAGCAGTCTCAAGTTCTTGCTCATAGTCAAGGGCAACGTATGCAAGTTTCTCTTTCATGTCACGGACAATTTCCCGTTCAGCAGTTGTAGTGAACATGTACCCTCTCTCAGTGAGGATCTTCATCAAAGCATCAGTGAGATCACGACCAGCAAGGTCAAGACGGAGGATAGCATGTGGTAGAGCATACCCCTCATAGATTGGCACAGTATGACTCACACCATCACCAGAATCCAGCACGATACCTATCACAGATGAAAAGCAATTCAGTATAAGAACGTGCATAAAACAATAAATGATTCACAATATTGGAGTCAACTGATACGAACCAGTTGTACGACCACTGGCATACAAAGACAGAACAGCCTGGATGGCGACATACATTGCTGGCACATTAAATGTCTCAAACATGATTTGGGTCATCTTTTCTCTGTTGGCTTTGGGGTTGAGAGGAGCTTCAGTGAGAAGCACTGGGTGTTCCTCTGGTGCAACTCGAAGCTCATTGTAGAAAGTGTGATGCCAGATCTTTTCCATATCATCCCAGTTGCTAACAATACCGTGCTCAATTGGGTATTTCAAGGTCAAAATACCTCTTTTAGATTGGGCTTCATCACCAACATAGGCATCCTTCTGACCCATCCCAACCATAACACCAGTGTGTCTGGGTCTACCAACAATACTGGGAAACACAGCCCTGGGAGCATCATCACCAGCAAACCCAGCCTGCACAAATAATCTTCTTCAGCAAAATGACACAGCAAACGCACAACTAAATCTCACAACCAGCAATATATGAACTTACCTTGACCATTCCAGTTCCATTATCGCAAACCAGGGGCTGGATATCCTCGGCATCGGCCATTTTCTAAAAACCTGCAAAACAATACAGAGAAATGAGTGAAAAATACAGAAAACGTATGCTTTATTCCTACTTTAAATCACTGCACAGTCACACTGTCCATTTCTCAAATCCTCATTTTCTTAGTCAATTTACAAACAGCATCTGGACAATCTACGTACAACTCCCACAATCCAGAATCATTTGCATATAAGCATGACATAGGGCAAGCAACAGAATTCCTTCATTTACAACCATACAAGCAAGTTCCTAATTTATGTCATTATAATAGTAAGACAGTAATCCGAAGTTAATTTTAAATTATCTTGTATAATTGGAAAGCAAAATCTTGTTTTCAGCATTAAATTTTTATAATTTCCGACCCTATAAAGCTAAATCTAAAGTCTATATCATTGTAATCGTTTCTTTCACACAACTAATCAACTTCACACTTTACTTACAGTTCACAGGCACATCAAATAGTACAATAAATTAACAGACAAGTACTGCAAAACGAAAATAAAATAAAAACCTAGATGTATAAGCAGATCAAATCGGACAAATACATACTGTCAAAAAAAAAAAATCGGACAAATACAGATCCAGATACAGAGAAAACCAGATCAGAATATAAAATCAAACAATCATAGGCAAGAACTTCAGCTTCAGATCTCGTCCAATTCGAAAACTACACACTGACATGCTATATCTAGCTCCAGATCTCACCTTCAATAACACAAAAAAAGACGCAGATACTCCCTAGATCGGCTATATATAATCAAATGATAAACCGATCAAAACAACCGATTTCTCATGTCATACTAAAAAAGCCACACCATATAAAATCACGATCTACAAAGAACCCAACAGCAAAAATAGAAATTAGAGAGAAACATAGATCGAAGCTTACCTTAAGATAACGAAAAGACCGAAGAACAATCGAAACGAACCAAGCAAATCTGCTTGGCCTGGCGGTTTTCGCTAGGGAAGAAGCGCAGAGAGAGAGTGAGGTAGAGAAAAAAAATGACCAGTAAAGGCAGACAGCAAAGAATGGTGTGTATATATAATGTGGATTTTTGAAATGCAAATGAAATTTGGATTAAATTAAGAATTGGTAACAGAGAGAAAGAGGAATCATTTCCACCACGAGAAAAGATTGGGTGACCTGGCTGACAGCCTTTTCCTACATCTTCCATGTTCCATCGATTTTTCTGATTTAATCACAGCCGTCGAATTATTACTATTATTATTATTATTTATTATTTATTATATCCTACCGGCTGGGCATGGGCTTTTTGGTCGGTTCAGCTTATGCGGTGCTGTCTTTGAGAAGACAAGCGGGCTGGTTAGTTCGGATTAGACCGGTTGGCTTGTCAAGGGAATGTCTTGCGTTTGAGTTTGGTATCTTCCCAAGATTCAATTGCGGCTAGCGAGCTAAGTTCAGACTGTAATAGGATTTGGCTCGGCTCGGAAGTTTCTACAAGGTTTGAAAGTCTATAATAATTGGGTTTTTTTTTATTTTGAAAAAAGAAAAAAATATTGTCCTTTTGATTGCTGTTAAAATTTAGAATCAAAGTAAAATGTTCCCTCGTAGCTTATTTGGTAGTTGCCACCATTTTTCAGAAAAGATAAGTGAAAGGAATTTCACTTATTTCTACAATTGAAAACATAATTGCTCGCGGTTTTATAGTTAAATTGTTAATTGCTCAAAATAAGAAAAAATGAAATAATCATAATTTGTATTTTAACAAATTTTGAGAACCAAATGTTAATTTACTATTTAAATTAATGGTTAAACTAAAAGAACTAAGTAATTTATAAAATGAAATATTAAAAATATCATTAATACATCAAAACATAATACAGTGGTAAGTATTTCTTTAAACTGACAATATATACAGATTTAAATCTATCTCTTCGATGCTTACAAAAGAATTCTTGTTAATTCAAATTTCAAAAATAAAAATTTTGAATTAGTGGATAAGACACTATGTAATCGTTTTAATAAATCTCTTTTATTTGGTATAAGGTATCTAATCAATTGTAGTACTTTATTTAAGCGTTTAGATCTAGAGCTATACAGATGAATCAACAGTTACAAGAATATTGTTATGAAGAAATAAACGATTTATTAGATAAATGATTAATTAGAAAATCTAAGTCCCCTTAGAGCTGTTCAGCTTTGGAAGGGAGCATAAAGTCCAGACAAAGTAATATGATACACATAAGTATATATAATCATGTTATTAACTAAGCAAAATAATAATTTAATAAAACTTATTTAAAGTAAAACAGATGTAAAACACCAATTAGAACCGTTAAATAAAGAAGTATGTTAAATAAAAGACTTTGAAGAACTAAGTAATTTATAAAATGAAATATTAAAAATATCATGAACACATCAAAACATAATATAATGGTAAATATTTGTTTAAAATGACAATATATACAGATTTAAATCTATCTCTTCGATGCTCACAATATAATTCTTGTTAATTCAAATTTCAAAACAAAAATTTTGAATTAGTGAATAAAATTAAATATTAGGGATTAAATAATTAATTTTTAAAAATTAAGGAGTATCGGAGATTAACAAATGAAAATTTGATTGAATGCATTGACTATCCTTTAATTTGGAATAAGTGGATCATTCTTTAATTTGGACTAAATCGTTGATAGGTGAGTTGTGGTTGAGTCAAAATTTTATTGCTTATAATATAATAGAGGTGTATGATAGAAAAATTCTAATGAAGTATCATATTAATACAAATAAAAATTTGTTTTAGAAACTTACGTTTTAAGAAAAGCATTAATCTCAATTTTGAAGCATCAATTAATCATGTTTTTGTTCCTTAGAAAATATTACTCTCCAAATACTACTTAATTCCATGGCAATCTTATGTAGGGGTTGCCACGATTCTGGAACCGCCAATTTCGGTTTTAAAAAATATAGAATCGAAATCAAACCGGAAATCGACAGTTTCCATATGGTTTGGAATCGAACGGCTACGATTACGGTTCCAATTCCGATTCCTAAACGGTTCCAAAATCGACGGTTCCAGTCGGTTTTTCGATTAATTTTCCCGTGAATCATATAATTATAAAATCAAAAATTAGGTAACATTTTTTGTTGAAAATTTCAAATTTAAATATTTATGAAATAATTTTAAGAAAAAACTTAAAGAAAAAGTTAAAAAATGCTTAACTTAATTTATTTATTTTTTTTAAAAAAAGGCTTGAACTATTTTTTTAGAAAAAGACCTAAACTTAATTTATTTTTTTAAATGAAAAGGGGTATCTATAGTAAATCCAAAAAATTAAATTTTCATAAATATCTTTAAAATTAGCCGTTATATACTTGTTAGAAAGGTTAATTTAAGTATTTCACAAAAAATTTTGAAAAAATAAAAAAAAAAAGTTATTGAAACCGATAGAACCATTGGTTCACGTTTCTTCAAAACTTGAAATCAAATCGGACCACAGACCCCGGTTCTGGTTTTCACCGATTTTGAGCCCACGATTGCGGTTAAAAAACCTTGAATGTGGTCCATATTTGTTTCCAATATGAAGGGCATAATATGATCCATATTTGAGATTATATTAGTTAAAACTTAAAAATTAAGTTCATTTGTGATTCTATTAAAAAGTGAAAGTTTCACATTCGAGTATCCTATTTAATTATATGTACAATTAATAATTTTAAATATACAACCTGATTAAAATGATATATATATAAGGGGCAAATTTAAATAGAAAATAAATTTATTCAAATAAAAATAAATAAATAAATTTGTATAAAAATATTATAATATAACTAAAAATGTCAAATATCAAAATAGAATAAAAAGTAATTACTTACGTATAAACATGTAATAAAATATATTAATAATTTTAAGTCAAATACTATACAGTAATGAATTCTTAAAAAAATAATAATAACAAATAGTTTCGTTTTTGGAAACAAATAACAAATAATATTAATGATATTAACGCAAAGTGACGTGAATTCATCCGTGTATGTAATATGTAACAAGTTTTTGAAAAAGTAATTTAAGAATAGAAGATCCGGAGAAATTATTTTATTGTCCAAATCAATTAAATGATCTATTACTACTATGAAGATTTATAGCGGTCAAGATCATCTTCAAACGAGAAAGTCCAATAATATTTCTTTTACTTCTACTTTTATTATTCAAAATAATACAAATAATTATTTTATTATTAAAGGATTAGCAAACTTTTTATTAATTATGATAGTAAATTCTATGTATGATCTAATTGATTTTTATGGTCTTTGATTTTATTATTAAAATGAATTATATTTCTCAAAAATGATAACAAATAATTTCATGCAATTCTTTTAGAATCTTCTATAATTAATTAATCTAAATATATTTTAGAAAGTTTTATTGGTGGGGCTATGGGTATACTTTGTTTCGAAATGTGGGCCATGTGTATGCTTGACTTGACATGTAATTGGGGGGTGGTGGAGGGCGGCATTGGGGGGTTTTGTTTGTTGATTAAAAAAGGTGTCAACAGCATACGTGTAATCAATCAAATTTCAAATGTAGGGAGGCAAGGGCGGTGTCCCTCCGTCGACCTTGACGTCGCAGCCTTCACAAAAATGTCGTTAGTTATGACCTGATTTTTTGTGGGCTCATTGTCTTTTCCAAGTAATTAGTGCAGTTAATTTCAAAATTAGGTTTCGAGCTAAATTTTCATGGTCCTTTTATTTTTATAGTCCATTTTCACCCAATTTTGACAAAAATACTAAAACTTGAATTTCTTAATTTTAAGAACTAAATATTTTATTTTTTCATTTTAAAACTGTTGATTTTAAAAATAACCATGAGGTCGCTAGCAGTTTGGAAATAAAAAATTACGGAATAATTAGGTAATAAACATGCAATTAAAAAAATTAATGTTTTTTAATTTCTAATCTAATATATTGTAAATCATTGGATCTGCGTATAAATTTTAAAAATTATAAAAATATTAAAATGAAAAAGTAAAATGCATTGTATATACTTGGAAGAATTGAAAAGTAACTTTGAAGTAAAGGTGAACAATATTGATAATGTTTTCGAAACGAAAACAAAAAATTGACAAAAATTTTGAAAGGGTAACTTGAAAAGAAATTGAAATTAATTTATTTGTTTGAGCTATTGAGTTTGATTCGTTCTTTGGCTTGACTCGTTAGATTGTTATTTGGCCTCATCTCTAATTTTGATCTCAATTTTTATATATTCTTCAAATGGTTAACCATGTGTTTCAAAAACCTCAAAATATGGTGCAAATAATATCCATAAGAACGGATTATAAGAATAGTAATGAGACTGGTCAATGACGAGTTAAGTCCACTCATTTTCACACCACCATTCATAAATTTTCTTGCGTTCTCCCTTTATAATCGAACGGGATAAAGAACTCCACTCCAACTCTCCTAGTTTCGACTATGAAAATTTATATATATGTGAATCGGTCCGAGGCTATGCAGTTTGGAACAGAATATGACAGATTTAGCTCGGAATTAATATAGGCTAATAAACAGTGCAATTAAAAAAAATTAAATACGTTTTCTTTGAATTTCTAATTCTAATATTATTGCTGAGAATTCTAATTGCGACATCTGGGGTATAAACATTGTTAAAACAATTGTATAAAATATTACAAATGAAGAAAGCCCTAAACAATGCATCTTTGTTAACTTTACTTGGAAGCATTTTAAACACGTTAAACTTTGAAACGTATCAAGGTGAACATATTGAATAATGTTTTTCGAAAACGAAACAGAAAAATATTGACCAAACACATATTTGAAGAGGGTAACGTTGAAAAGAAATCTGAATATTAAATTTATGTCTGTTTGGCTATTTTCGATGTCTTGGATTCGGGTTCTTTGCTTTGAACTCGGTTAATGCATTGTTATTTTTGGTGCACCCTCTCTCTAATTTTGATCCTCCAATTTGTACTATATTCTTCAAATGGTTTAACCATGTGTTTTCAAAAACCTCCAAAATATGGTGCAAAATTAATATCTCAGCGTAAGAATCGGCATTCATTAAGA